AAAAAATGAATTGAATATTTTTGAAAAATATTAGACAAAATATATGAAAAATAAACAAATCTAATATTTTATAGAACTTTTGATGTACTCTTAAATTTGTAAATTTTATTTTTAAATCTAATTCCACTAATAAAATAAATTATATTAATTGTAACTTCAACCAAACATCATGATTTTTTATGTACAGACAAAAAGAGTATTATTTTTATTATATGCAAAGTGATTATATATATATATATATATATATAGGGGCCAGTTCCTGTAAGAATGGACCTTGTGGAGAGAAATGAGAATAATTCTTGACCATTGGATTCAGTGCATCAGACGGCTCAGATTTAAAAGTCTTGATAATAAAGTAGGTATTTAGGGGTAAATATGTAAAAAAATGATGCATTAAAGTAGCTAATTCTTGAACGCTATCTACCATTCACGTCTCCACCTATTGCGCTGATAAAGTAGAAAAAATCCAATCCAGATGCAATGAATGTTTTTTCCAATTGTTGATGAAAGATACACTGACAACATGAGAAGCTGCACAATCTAGGAAGAAGGCGAGACGAAACATCATATCTACGAATACAGGTTCAAATATATAATTAAGTTTTCAAAAAAAATTAATTTTTTATGGGGGGAGGGGGCGGCGATGCATATTAACAATAAAGATCAACATTAAATGTATTATTCATGTTGCAAATTTGTTCGTGGGTTTGTGCAATTTGGGGGTTTTTATCAAAAAATTAGTGATATTGTGATTTAGGGTTTGAGTTTTTAAAATACTTTGGGCACTTTGATTTTATAACATATAAAGAACTAATCGGGATTATTTTCTAATTACTTGATGCTTTAGAGGTGTCAAGCTTGTATATAGGTCAAAGTGATTTGTAGTGCATATTTCTAAATGCATTATGTATAACTTAATTGGATATTTGTTTAGATAATGTGCGTTGTCTGGATCCGTAAATGCATTTTCTAGAACTCTAGTTTGGAAATACACTAGTGTTTACTTAAAATTCATAGACTGCTCGAAATGCACCTTTTTAAATTCATGATGCATGTTTGTGGCATTCTTTAATTTAGATATTGCATTCCTCAGCTTTTTTTTACCTTGTGGCATGTTAAATTGAATATCTACGTTGTGTATGTGTGTTTATGCACTGCAGTTTTAGTAGAAGTGCGTACAATGAAACTCGTTGAGCATTTCAGTGAATTGCTTTTTGAAACATCGATTTCTCAGCTCACTCAAATGCATACTAGCCCAATAAACATTGAGTTGTTATGTTTTCCCTTTCTTGTTACTTTAATCTGAATTTAAAATAGATATAAGAGTTTTAAAGTTGGATCGATTAAGATTAATTATTGATTTTTTTTATTCTTTTGAAATATCTTGTTAAATGTTGGTCTTGTTCCACCAAGATTTGTATAATTCGAGGCTATATGGACTGTTTTACAAAAAGTATGTATGATTGATGACCATATATTAACATCTTATATGTATAGTGTGCAGGTTGGACATGAACATATGCATTGAAAACAACCTATATTTTTGTAAAGAATAACAAATGGTAACATCTCAAGTTCTTAGAGGTGGACATGCAAATGAAAAATACAGCTAATGAGTTGCAGAGTATGTTGGTATAGAGCTCGATCGAAGAAGGAAAAATGGAAGTTAATGAATAGTAAACCATGTGTCTATGTCGATATTGTAATGAATTAAGTCCCGTGACAACAAGATATTCTGTGTGGAAAAATATATATCTTGAAACTATTTTTTATTAATTTTTTTACAACATGTACATTGATGAATCTCATACACAATTCGGAGTGTGCATTTAGAAAGAAAATATGCAGTATTAATGATATATTGCATTATTTGTATTTTTAATGTTCACTCTTTTAATGCTATTATTTTTACTTCATGTGTTTATAATTTCTCCATCCTCAAACTCAAATCAGCAATATTTCACTTTCTCAGGTGCATTCTTTGTTTCTTACTATTAAACACTCTAAATGTGCACATTTACATATGAATGCACTGTGATGGTACAAAACTGCACTATGATACATGATAAATGCATTGTTATTTGACTATTTAGATTTTATTTTATTAATTTGTGGTTTAGTAAAAAATGATTCTTAAGTGACTGTGAATGTGATGAAAAAGTTAGGGAATATGTTGTGTTGAGAATAAGTGTAATATAAATTTGAGAAATAATTTACCTATGCAGGATTCGAACCTACATCCGTATTACGTACTGCTCTACCATTTGAGCTAATAGGCAATTTTTGGTTTTTTTTCAAAGTGAATCTCACCATACACTTAAACCCATTAAGTACAAATTTTAGTCTTTTAAAATTGACATCATTCAATGTATTTCCAACTCGTATTTAAATGTATCTGATAATATTTTAAATGCATCATCATTTATAGAATATACAAATGCATCATATTTGTGTCAGGAAAAGTTCACCATCAGATGCATTAATTTTGATTTTGAGAATGCATAGTAACAAGTTGTGTTACCTTAAATTTGATAATGCATTACCCTGAATTTGATAATTCACTATCACATATTCATACTCCTATATAATTCTCTCAAATATACTTCAATGTCAACAGAAAAGTCAAATAAAAAGTAAAAAAGGAAAAAAACAGCATTATACACCTCGAATGAACAACAAAAATATACCAAACCACAACACTTATGTGAATATAATATCTGCAACTTTATTATGTATCGCACTTTTAACTAGTTTAGAATGCAGTACTGTGAGGCAAAAAGAAAAATCCTTGTTATATCCCTCAAGAAAAAAAGATTGCAGTATAATGCACTCAATAATTCATATAATGCATACTGTGATGATTTACAGAGCTTTGTAAAGAATCATCCTGGTTATATCACTTAAGCAAAAAAGATTGCAGTATAATGCACTGAATATTTCATATAATGCACACTGTGATGATTTACAGAGTTTTGTAAAGAATCATCCTGGTTATATTCCTCAAGAAAAAACAACACAAATATGAGGTGTCATGATGTGTTTTTTGTACAATTGTATTTTTTTAATGCATACAAAATGGTATTTATATTCTAAGTCTTATATAAGCATAAAGATGAGCTTATACACAATCAAGATAATATTGTGCAAAAAAATTTAAAATATAATCTTTGCACGAGTATGATGCACTACTATCTACATCAAAATGCAGTATTGTGTAAAAATATAATTTATAAATTGATAAAAGAAAATCGGACATCACTGATATTAAAAGGCTAGAAGAAATTTCCATCACAAGAAGCATCCATACTCCACCTAAAATAGAGATAAGAAACGACATTCAGAGATAGTGTAAAGATGTGGGGCAGAATTTTAGACATATGCATTACAAAGCACTAGAAATACATTATTGCCTTTTAGCAATGCATTACTCGAACACATATGTATTCTCAAGAGGATCAAACAAATTTCTACTGAAAAATTACAGAAGAACAAAACAAAATTGTACTGATTACAAAAATAACAACAAATATCAAAAGAATCTGCAAAAAAGACTCTGTGGTTGTCAAAAAATTAATATATAAGATGTTATTAGCAATAATCATCTCCAAACTCAGAGAAATAAACCCGATTGATCAGGAACTGAAACCCCCAAATATATAGATTAATGAAATTCGTGATTTAGAATGCATTTTTACCTTATATTTCAACCCCCAAAGTATATCTCTAAAATACTATACTGTAAAAGACAAAAACATTATCACCAAATCGACATAAATACAATTGGATGATCAAGAATTAAACCCCCAAAATATATGGATGATGAAATTCTTGATTCAGAACATAAAAAGTGAAAATACCTGATAGCGATGTGGAATCCATGAAATATCTTCTCATTTGAAGATTACAAGATAATATAGAGAAGTATCAATTGGATCTATTGAGTTCTAGATAATGGATCTAATGTATGCATCCCAATATTTCCAATCGTAGAGAAAGAAAGGACACACGCAAAGAGTGGGGATCGTGCGCAGACTTTACGGAGACAAAAAAGGAGAGATACGATTGAAAAGTAAAAGTCCCAAAATACCCATCAAGCGAAACAAATTAATTGTCCAAATCATCCAAGATCCAATGGCCAAAAATCATTCTTATTTCTTTCCTATAATCTCATTCTCACCAGAACCAATATATATATATATATATACATATACATATATATATATACATATATATATAAATATATATATATATATATATATATATATATATGTATATATATATGTATGTATGTATATGTATATATATATATGTATGTATGTATATGTATATATATATATATGTATATGTATATGTATATGTATATGTATATGTAGATGTATATATATATATATATGTATATGTATATGTATATGTATATGTATATGTATATGTATATGTATATGTATATGTATGTTTATAATTTTTTAAAATTGTTTAAACTACTAGTTCGACCACTTGAACCACTCGTTCGACTAGTGAACCAATTACCTTGACCGGTTCAATCCCCGAACTGGTTCTAAAACGATGCTTACAGTAGGAGAATATTCAACTGAAACAAAAAGTTGCCGACAAGCAATAAGGTTAGAGTGTGAACGCAATGAACTAAAAGAGTAAGAGATTCTGATGGTGCATGTTGATCATTTGCCACCTCAGTTAGATTAAAATAATCTGGTCAAAAATGGAAAATGAAAAAATTAGATTAAACAGAAGTAGGTAAAATCTACTTACTTTTTCTGACTTATAAACACATAAAAACATTTCATCAGTTGTCTTACTGAATATGAATGAAAAGTTATTTATAAAAGGTTTTGACCATCTTATAAGTACAGAGAAAGACCTCCTTACTAACCCTTTTTTAATTTAATTATTAGTCTACATGCTTATTAACCTTTTGCAATATGATTTTTATTTGTGTTTTGCAACAACAAAAAAACTTGATTATTACACCTTAAGCATGCAATAACATAAACTGCAATTTCTTCATAGATTGAATTCGTGAATTCGATCACTCAATCTGCCTATGTGAAATGTTCCAGGCTTCCAGCTCCTATGTTTGCCGAATGAATTGTGGATTGAACCATATGAGAGGAAATAATTTTACAGGGAATACAAAATCCATCCAATTTAAATAACAAGAAAACAGTTCACGTCACCTCAATGGACTAACAACCCAACCTGTGATTGGGTTCTGCCTTCGAACCCGGATCGTCCGTTGCCCGCCGCTTCGCAACCGATCAAGAATCGCGTAGGTAATTGAATCCGGCACCAAACCGTTTTCTTTCAGTCTTGCATAGAAATCGAGAGCCTCAGCTGTTCTCCCACACCTCTCCAGGCAGTCAAGTAAGATGTTGTATGTGACTATGTTTGGGGAACACCCTACGCCAAGCATCTCATCAAATAACTGACATGCCATCTCGACTTTCTCAGTCTTCCCAAAACATTCAATGAGTGTGCTGTATGTGACCACGTCGGGGTTTAACCCCTTCTCTTGCATCTCTATGAACCTCATATGAGCTTCATCAACATCACCATTTTTCCCTAGACAGTTTATCAATGAGTTGTAGGAGACGGTATCGGGCTCCCAACTGCTGCTACTTTCAAGTTCTTCAAATACCTTGACAGCTTCTGCAACTCTTCCAGCCCTACCAAAGCTGGATATCAGAATGTTGTACGTAAACAAGTCTGGGGATACGCCACTTTGCTTCATCTTCTCATAAAGGTCATGAATGTGTGGAATCTGCTTTGATTTACCCAGAGCGGTGAAAACAATGTTGTACATGAAGGTATCAGTACCTGTCCCCTTTTCATGCATCTTAGAGAGCAGGTCCATGGCTTCGGATACGTTCCCAGCACTGCATAAACTCTCCAGCATCGACAAGTAAGCATCTCTGTCTCCGCTGTCATGGAAATTCCACATGGAGCAGAAAAGCCTGTGAGCTTCACCGGCATGGCCCAATTTATTGAGTGTTCTGACAAGGTATGCATATGTGGACTTGTTCATGAATCTTTGGGAGATCTCTACGACTTCATCGAGTCTATGGAGCTGGCTTTCTGCCGCCAAAACATGTAAAATGAAACTGTAGGTTAACTCGTTTGGCCTGCAATTGTTTTCTACCATCTTTGAGAAAAGAAAGAGTGTCTTTTCAACCATCCGACTCTTGGAGAGTATTTGAATCATGGTGTTATAAGCAAACAAATTGGGAGAGCAACCCTTTGCCAGCATTTCTTGGAACAGAACTAGTGATTCATTGGGCTTCCCAGCTTTCCCTTTCATTCTAATCAGAATTGTGTATGTATAGACATCAGGCTCGCAGTGCCTCTTATGCATGTCATCAAAGACCTTGTATGCCTGTTCAACCTGGCACCAGACTGCATATCAGAATAATCAGAATCCATGAGTACAACTGCCTCTTATCTCATGTCTTGTTGACATTTGTCCAGAATTAGTTGTCCACTTTGCATATTCAATAAATAAATTAGGATGAATTGTTTAAAATTTCCAATGGATAGGGTTCGCGTATTCTTGACATCCATGAGTGATTAACTCATTTGAACGACTTATTTGACATTTATTTAAAAATGAGAGTTCAAAAAAAACAGGCATTTAATTCTGGAGTCTGGACAGATGGAGTATGATATTGAAGAATCCGAGACTACATGAAAGCAAATTGGGCATGCAATTCTTCTAGTTTGTCCAGTATAATACTCCATATATGGAAGCAGTAAGCATCATATACAGAGTACTAGGGATTCATGTCATACAAATCGGTCAGTCCCCTGGAAAACTAACATTAAGTTTGGTTCAAGGAATTTGGAAGGAAAAGAAAAAGAAATAGTTTTCTCACATTTCCCCTCACCAAAATGGGAGGAATTTGGATTTCCTTCCTTTTAGAATATTTTGCCTTTCTCATTTTCTTTTCTTTTCCATATCAAATTCGTTGAACCAAACATAGTGTAAAGAAATGCATAAGGAAAAAAGTCATAGACTCAAAGTTAGAAGTTATCAATGCCCAATATAGTATATACTTGTCAAACAAAAGGAATGCTAGAAATTCTTTAAGCAAGAACATCTTTAAGCTTCAGAGAGTGAAACAAAGAACCATAAGACATAATGGGCATTGAATCTAACTTCATTACCGAGTACAAACTAGCACAATTATTTACAGAAGAAGAAGAAGTCAAAGAAAAGACCTTTTCATCCTTGGCAAGAGCATCAATAAGCTTGTTGTATGAGAAAATATCCAGTGTGTATCCGCGCATTCTCACTTCTTGATACACACCCAGAGCCTTACTCGAGTCGCTCAGTCTCAGGTACGCCTGGAGAAGACACTTGTAAGTATAGCAAGTCAACCTCAAGTCCCATTTCTTAATCGGCTCTAACCACCTCTTCAGCTCGCTGCCATCTTCCCCATTGCTGCTCCCAATTACTCCCACGAGAAGATTGACTGTGGAAATGTTACCACGGGTTCTAGACCGCTCCATTTGACCTACAATTTCGCGGATTTGATCGAGTCGGGTCGGGAGAGATGACTTAGAAAGGATGAGGATGATTCTGTTGTATGTGAAGGCGTCGTGCCGGAAATTAGGGATTTTGGCGGGGCAAAATCGGAAGAACCGGAGAGCTAGGGTTGGGGATTTGAGAGACTTGAGAACTTCTGAGGCTTCTGATGGAGTTAAATTGAGATGCAATGAATCGAGATAGTCGGAGAGGTCGAGGAATTGATCCGACGAAGGAGAAGGCGGCGCCTGGAGAATCTGAGAGACCTTGCAAATGAGGTCTCGTCGGGGAAGAACATAGCCACGAGTGTCAGTTTGGAGGGACGGGGAATCGACTTCGATGGCGAATGAGCGGCCGTTGTCTGCTTCCGCCACCACCCTGCCGCTGTACTTGGTGGCAAATCCGCGGTGCTGATAGCAGCTGATAATCCTGAAAGTCAGCCGTTGGCGACGGCGGCTGATTAGGCCGACTACCATGATTTTTCGTCAAGCCGGGTCTGGCCGTGCAAAGACTGCAGTGTCCATTGAAAGACAAGGGGATATCGAAGGTGAGAAATGAGGACGACGGCCATACCCCTATATCAGTTATCTTCCCATTTAATTTTCAGCCTAATAAAATACTCCCTCCGTCCCGCTATATTCGTCCGCTTTTAACTTTTGGAACTGTTCATCTAAACACTTTTGACTCATCAAATTCTCAATGTGTAAGCCTAAATATAGTCATGTGTGATCTTGTTTGATTTGTCTTAACATATAGATTATTAATATATAATTTCTATAATTTTTTAATGTACAAATTACAAGATAAAATGGATTAAAGAAGTGTATTGGATGGTGTGCAAAAATGAAAGTGGACAAATACTCTGGGACGGAGGTAGTAATTAGATTTTAATATCAATATATATATAGATTTACTATATATTTTATAAAAAGTTTACTCCGTATATTTTAAAAATACGTTCCAAAAAGAATTATTGATGTTACATTTATACGTTCCAAAAAGAATTATTCATATTACATTTATATCAGAATACAATACACATTTTGTTAAAAATTGAAGTTAAAGTTTATAAACTTTGAACAAGAAAAAATAAACGAGAAGATTAAATCTACACAGAGGATTATTTTTCGAAAAAGATATGACTATTATATTGATAGGTATATTACATACTCTGGTGTACTCCTCGGTACCCAGGCTATTTCGTATAACCAACCATCCAGCGACCAATCGGTGGTGTACCTCTTCGGAATCAGGCCGGACGTGACCGATCATAGTTTTTGTCGGGATGAGTTTGGCGGATTTTTCATTACCGGTGTTCGGTGATTGGTCAAATCTATGATATGGTGACCAGTCATAGTTTCCATCTTGCGGAACGAACGTTGAAACAATATTTCGGGAGTGGTGCTGGGTGACCGGTCAACCCCGGGGTTGGGTGAGCGGTCACGGTTCTGGTCTTTCACAATGAGCATCGCATCTATTTTTGGGAATGGTACCGACTGACCGGTTGTCATGTTTTTGGGGCTTTGCCGTAAATCCTAAGAAACAAATTCATATGCTGTAGGCAATTTAATTGGTCATATTTTTCAAATATGACCGAGGGATTACGATTGAGGAGTGTTGCTTGACGAATTAATGTTTCATCCCTTTCACTTGATTCTTCACTTGAGTCACTCGAGTAATCACTAGATTGCTTGGATGCCTTAAACACATTTGTTAATTTGGGATCTTCTCTCAAGTATTCTTCTCACATCTTAATCATCAAAAGCTCTTGAGAATACGAAGAGGACCAAATCTGGGCGGTGCTTTCTGTTGCACATTTTGATAATAAATCTACAATGCTATTTTACCACTCTTTTGGCAAAGGAATTAAAACTTTTGTATTTAATTCACTTGTAGAATATTCTTTATCCAACTTACCTAACTTGTTGACCACATCATTGTATCGTTTGTTTCCATCTTGGATTGACTCGTGTTGGCCAAGTTTGAAGCTTTCATATTTCGAGTTTTCTAAGGCCATCATGGTTTGCTTCATTGTGGTGTCGCCTTCATGCGTGGCTTGAAGCAAATCTCATACTTCCTTGCTTGTTTTGCTAGAGCACACACATGTGAACTCATCGGGTCCAAGGGAGAAATGAAAGATGTTCATGGCCTTTGCGCTCATTGATAATTTCCTTTTGTCTTCCGAGGATAATCCTGCAAAATCACCAATTCTTGGAACAAATGGCCCGTGAAGTATGTTCAACCATAAATCATAATCAATGGATTATAGACACAACCTGATGGTTTTCAAATTGCTGGTCAGTCTGCCAAAGCTTGTAAGCTGCAACGTTCAATCTACGGATTGAAACAAGCATCTCAGAGTTGGTACATACGCTTTGACGAAACCATTTCCAGTTTTGGTTTCGAGAAGAACTCTGACGAATCTTGTGTATACAAGAAGGTCAGTGGGAGTGTAATAGTATTCCTAATCTTATATGTCCATGACATATTGTTAATGGGTAACGATATTCCCGCTCTCACTTCTGTAAAGACATGGTTGAGCGAGAACTTCTCCATGAAAGACTTAGGGGATGCTAGTTATGTCCTTGGCATAAGAATCTACCGAGATAGATCAAGAAAGTTAATAGGTCTGAATCAGAGCACATATATAGATAAAATCCTTGATCGATTTAGCATGTCTAACTCAAAGAAAAGATCTTTACCTATGACACCTGGCACAGTTCTTTCCAAGAACCAGAGTCCTTCTACTCCCGAGCAGAAGTAACTCATGATAAAGGTTCCATACGCCTCTGCGATTGGATCCGTCATGTACGCCATGATATGTACTAGACCTGATGTCTCATTCGCTTTAAGCGTGACCAGCAGATACCAGGGAAGTCCAGGAGAAGTAGACCTGGCAAAACAGAACCGGAACCGATTACCCGAACCGAAATATCCGAAACCGAAACCGGAATGACCCGAAAAAAGAAGATATGATCTATAACCGAAAACCCAAAATGATTCGAATCGAACCGAAACCGAACTAAATAATTCATATCCGATTTAAATCTGAAATCGATTAGATCCGAAACCGATAATATCCGAACCGATTAAACCCGAAACCGATTAGATCCGAACCCGATAATACCCGAAACTGATTAGATCTGAAACCAATAATATCCGAACCCGATTAGAACTAAAATCGATAAATTCAGAACTATGTTTGCCTTTCAATAAGCATATTATATTTTTAAATTTTTACTTTTATTTTACCATTTGAACTAATTACATTACTTGCTCATTCCCTCATAAAATGGATTATCTTCTTGAAAAAAAGTATAAAATTTTATGCCTTAAATTTATTATATGTAGAAATTAAAGATAAGTTATACATATAAATGATAACGCACAAATAAATAAAATTTCCGTGATTTTTAAATAGTGAAGTGTGATATTCTTTTTGGCACGAAAGGAATATATGATGAATTGTATGGAATAACTAGATTTTATCCTAATTTCATCTCATTACAATAAATTTTATTGATTTGAGAGTTAATTTGATTAGTTTCAAACCAATTCACTCAATATTAGTCAATAAAATTAGATGCTAGTGTTAGCATTTTGAAAAGACTCTCTAGCGGCAACCTTTACTGTTATCATTTTCAAATTTGATCTACATCATTACATTTAGGTGTAAAATTAATTATATTTGACTCTATTAAATTTAATTTTCTCTATTTCAACCAAATATACTCAATAATTTACAAATTTTGCACTCAATTGAATAAAATTCACTTAATTTCACCCAATTTACTCAATTTTTACCAAATTGTATTCAAATGGAACATAAGACTATTTGAATTTATCTTTTATCCTTTCATTTATATACATAAGTATATTAGTATATGTGAGAAAAATTTTATATTTCAAAATTAAATTTTAAAATCAATTTAATTATATTAAATTTATATCATAATTAAATATATATATGTTTTCATAATTTGTAGTCCAAATTTGTAAAATATGACTAAAAAGTCAAAAAGGGAAGATTATTTAGGGTATAGATAATATAACCAGAAAAAAATATAAAATAATATGAGGTATTGAATTGATGATAGATTGATAAATGTGATAAAACATAAAAAGAAACACGGATAGTTAAATTTTAATTAGAAAATAATATATATCAAAAAAATATTTGATCCGAAACCGGAATATATCCGAACCGAACTAGACCCGAAACCGAAATATATCCGACTCAAATCAAATCCGAACCGATTTATAACCGAACCATATCTGAACCGACTCGAAACCGAACCGAACCGAAAAATGTATAGAACCGAAATCAAATCCAAACCGAAATTTAACCGATCTGAACCGAACCGAACCGATTATAACATATAACCGAAAGATATCCGAACCGAAAAAATCCAAACCGAAACCGATCCGGTTGATCCGATTGCCACCTCTAAGGAGAAGCACACTGGACAACGGTCAAGAACATCCTCAAGTATCTTCGCAATACTAAGGATGCATTCCTGGTATACGACGGTGAGGAAGAGCTAAACGTGGTCGGTTACACTGATGCTAGCTTCCAAACTGACAGAGACGACTCAAAATCACAAGCAGGATATTTGTTTTGCTTGAATGGCGGAACTTTTAGCTAGAAGAGTTTCAAGGAAGACACAACCGCTGATTCGAATACAGAGGCCGAGTACATATAGCTGCCGCTGAGGCAGCTAAGGAAGCTGTTTGGATTAAGAAGTTCATCACTGAACTTGTGGAGTGGTTCCTAGTACTAATGACCCTATCTCGTTGTTTTGTGACAACACTGGGGCTATTGCATAGCCAAAGGAACCGCGATCTCACCAGAAAACCAACCATATTGTACGACGCTATCACATCATACGAGAAATCATAGATAGAGGAGATGTGATGCTCTGCAAAGTAGATACTGACGACAACATAGCCGATCCCTAGACCAAGCCTTTAGGAAAGCTAAAGCATGGGGGTTACACTAGGTCCATGGGCATTCGACCGATGCTAGATTGGCCATAGTGCAAGTGGGAGATTGCTGGAGTCGTGTCTTGATGTCCAACTATTTATCGTTATTCTATCATGTATAGGCAGATATAATATGTTTACACATCTCATTCTAAAGTAAACAAATGTTATATTCCTAGATTTATATTTAAAGATGTTTTATCAAATAGTATTTTTCTGCTGATGAGACTTACATCTTGAAATAAATATTTATCTGAATGTCCAAAGTTGAGTATTAACGAGAGTGGGATATCGTTAATTCATGTGAGACTAGTGTGTGTTGGATGTTTGACTTAGTCATAGTCAATGACGGTGTGTTCGCATCCGCACATGGGTAGTTATTATCTGGAGATAATAGGATGCCAGACTGACCCATCCTAAAGATGTTGTTTGAACTTTTAGTTCATGCTCTAAGCATCTTTAGCGCGACCACGGGTGTAACTATCCTTCGACTTGAAGTATTACGTTTTTCGCATATGTGAACCTGCATGCTTTGATGCATTGTCCTAAGCCATATGAAATAAGGATGGTATACATGCTTTGTTTTGGATATGCCGCAACGCGTATTCAGAAACTTAGATTACGTACATAGGATTTGTCACTACTCTT